GAGACCAACCGAAGCCATTTTCTGGACGATCCCAATATTTTTTGAAGAAGTTTGAAATGACAGTTGTTCTCAAACTACCACAGTATGTGATCAGTTGGTCACTGTGCAGCGTAGTTCAGTAGGTCGATGCAAATAAGCCGAAATGAGTGACTTAAAAATGTTGTCTTTCATTGGCATTCGAAATAGTTGCATACGGCAACGCCATTTGTTTGAAGGGAAACAGATATCCATAGCGAAATGCATTCTTTTTGTGTCAAGTTTCTAAACTGATTTACTCAGTTCACACGGTAGGCTCACGTTTACTGCTGTGAATGTTTCGTGAAGTATGTTGAAGTGTGAAATCCTCGAGTTTGTCAGAACAGCAAAGGTTATGGGTTGCATTTACCAGAACACATTGACACGTGATGTATGGAGCCTATGGACAGGGATGTCGGAGAGAAATGGAAATGCCGCGCTGAATGTCGGTATCACGCACCAATCGGGTTAACTAAAAAGGGAACTTGTCAACTGATACGGTGGTTCCAAAAGCATGACTTGTTACCCAACACTAGAGGCACAGTTAGATTAACACTTTCACACTTCAGTGCACTGTCATGAAATAGCCTTAGCATGAGCGAGTTAGCTACAGTATGATTTTGACAATTACCTGGCTGATCAAACAAGCTGACGCTTTACAGCCTGGGGAGTCACGGACCCAATGAAGAAATTCCTACTCCATGTCGATTCTGTGCGTTTTTGCATGAAATCTGACCAGGCGTGGCACCTGCTCATGGATGCTTCACGCACATGATGCACTCTATATATTGCTGTATTCGAACGACTCCTGCAAAGCAAATACAGAAAAACCTCACTGAGTTTACATGATTGTCGCCACAGACCGAATTCCAAACACACTGGCTGATGATACATCACCAGAATGGCATTCGGTTTCTCAAACTTGAAATACCGAATCAACTGATTCGGAATGGAGGTATTTTTAAGCCCTTTCAAAGCTATGTGATCCGATGACGCATCAGCTAGTTTCGTTCGGCTTGTAACCGGTCTAGTTGGAAGCACTTTCAGATATGAACTACTTTAGCGTTACTGCTATTTAGAGCTCTTTCTCGTCGAGTAGTTTAATGAGTTAAGACCCAGTGACAAGTATCGACGGGTTAAAGAGGTGAACTACTTTAGCGTTACTGCTATTTAGAACTCTTTCTTGTCGAGTAGTTTAATGAGTTGAGACCCATTGACAAGTATCGACGGGTTAAAGAGAGCCTATTGCTGCAGAGGCAGATAAGTTTAACAGCGTAGCCTGCATGTGGCGCGACTCTGGTCTAGATGTGGTTAATATGTAAGAGCGATCGAGTCACTAAGTTGATTTGAATGGAATTAGAGGACTGGAGAATACACAGCTTGGGAAAATAAGTTCTACCAGAGGAGCACGATATGGCACCTACAAGACAAGCAAATGAAATCAGAAGTGGGGAAAGCATACATAAACTCCTAATATTGAAGTCAAATAGTGCGTATGTTCTAAAAGAGACATTCAGGAATCTTGAACGAATGCTTATATGGTTACGTAAAAATTCTATCATATTGCTGGCTACCGCAGCGAAAATTCTCTCGTGCAGTTTAGTCCCTGATTATTGGAATAGAAAATGGGGGAAGAGACGAGTGGCAGCGATATCAGGTGGTGAATCCATCCAAGTGTCATAACTATTTGTGACACAGGGCAAACAAACAGCTGAAAACTCTTCGACAGCCCACGACCTGTTTCGCCCTTCTTGGGGCCCCTCAATTAGGCGCAGTCCCCGAGTTTCCGTCAACCTTGTGATCTGCTTGAAAGACAAATTTTAAACCAGAACATTAATCCTAAGAACCAGCTGAAAGCATCTCAAACAGAGTTGGTAAAAACCATTTATATGGCACCGCGACTGAACAGGCGATCAACTATCTATCAACTATCTATCGATGTGAAGTTCTAAACAATTACTATTACATTTCTTCTAGTGAAACTGCATAATCGCACTAATACGTGCCACATTTTTCATTAGGGTTGTGCCATCAGTTTGAGAATAATTCCAGCCCAGAAGGGAACAGACCGTGATGGAAAGTAGTTAATGTGTCGTTGAGTCTTATGCATTCATTGTTTCCCAGTATACCTCCCAAACAAGAAACTTTCTTCCTGTCCTTCAATTCTGAGAACTGTTGCATAAAGAGAATGATTGGCGTTGGATGAAGCCCCATCATCTAACAGCTAAAGTGTTTTGATGAGTACAGCTTATGTGAGCCAAACAGATGGATGTGATACAGCCTACCTGGTACATATATAAATAACTTCATTATTCATGTGTGCGGTCTCATTTCTTCCGGAAACACGTGTTCGTGTATATATTAGCTGGGTCTGTAATCGATCGATAATTAGATATACAGCAGTGACTAATTAACCCCGTTGTGCTGTATGAGGTGGTGCTTATTTACAGTTGAATCACGTGACGTGGTGTCAACCATAGTCGCAGACACTAACACATGGTATGTTTCCGTATTGTAAGATAGGCATCCAGCTTCAGTTGAAGAGATTGCATCGTTACCTGAACAGTTTCACGCAAAGAGTTATAATTGCGGCTATTTTAATTATTCTGTTTGGTCTTACAACATACAGTAAGCCTCAGTCTGTTAGTTACCATCGGGACCACTTGTTCCTCTGAGAACATGAACTCTGATACGGATAATTTATCGACGGCGATTACATAAATGGTAAAACCATAGGGTGTTTGGCTAAAATGACCTTGGGATGGGTCAATAGAACCGATGCATACAAAGGTTTCTAGACAGCTGCGTAATTGTTTAATCAAGAAAACCGAAGCAGAATTAGTAAAATATGCCCTCGTTCGTTGGACATACATAATGCGTTTTAATCTAAATTATTTCACGAAGGCAGGCTTAAATTCCCAATAAGGTCCATCTAATCACAAGCATTAGGGTACTCAGCAGTATAACGTTAGTCGGTGTAGGTTTGATCCAACCAAATCTCGCAAGTAAATACCATATTATATCTTGAAGGTTTGAGTGAATTTAGAAACTGAGTACATATCGCCCTTAGGAAAAATGCATTTTAATAAACGACGTTGTGCTTTATGCACCGTAATCAAAAGCATTGGACAAAAGCTCGTTTCTTAAGGATGCCTCCGTTAGAAGAAACAGAATAGGTCACATCTTTTACTTTAAAAAGTTGCGTTTCCACGGTGATTACAGTGATTTACTGGTGGATTGGTGCTGTCAACCGCCTACCATATTCAAATAGAGCATTGTTGTTTTCACATTGGCAACACTGAATGAGAAATCCCCTCTCCCCATTCTACTAGCCTTCAACCGAACAAGCTGCATGGATCCCCCTCATGTTTCAGTTGAAACGACACTGAGGATTTCAAAATATCCTTCTTGATGCAGCACTTCCTATAATACATTACTTAAAACTCTTCTACGGACGGTTTCACCCTTTTTGTGACTCACTTAGCGACTGTAGTCACCAAATTCTCATCATAATAATTCTTTGAAAGGTTCTCCAGTCCTTGCCTGGTGGTCAGCCTCAAAGCGCTTATAAGTAAACTGTACTGTGCTCACAACTCACCAGGAAAGGAACTTCGGTGAGTAAAGAAGAAAAACCCAATGCCCTGCAGCCGCTTTCGGAAGGCATTTTCAGAAAGGATCGAACCACTGTAGCCGGACTTCTTGTAGTTATAGCACCTACGCTTGTACGTGAACGTGGTTAGTTCATTGTTTTACCATTTATGGCGAGGTTTTAACCGGATAGTTCGTCCAGTAAACAAAGCCAATCTATGTTGATGGGCCTAGAAGCACTGTAGAGCTGTTGCATCCTTATTGGGAACCATCAGGAGTGTGCGTCACACAGAAACCCATACAGTCACTCACCCGCAACGTCTCGGCCAGTAGTTTGAACACTTAAACGTCGGCCAAGAGCAACCGGATAGTTCGTCCAGTAAACAAAGCCAATCTATGTTGATGGGCCTAGAAGCACTGTAGAGCTGTTGCATCCTTATTGGGAACCATCAGGAGTGTGCGTCACACAGAACCCCATACAGTCACTCACCCGAAACATCTCGGCCAGTAGTTTGAACACTTAAACGTTCGGCCAAGAGCGGCTATTGAGCTATGAATAACTCGCATTTAGACAAGATATGGGGCTGATCATCCTTCAGTTACGGGATCCACACCACTTGGTCACCCCTGTTGACTGGTTCCTCGAGTGACCACTCACAGTACTTTACCTCACACTATAAACATTATATTTGTAATTGTTCCACGCAGACGGATTTGACCAAAAGGAAGTGGATGAGCCAATCCGTATTTTGACGTTGAATGACGATGCTGTGGATGCATTCTCCCCGGATCAGTCCATCATCAGCTTCTGAGTAAACTGACGGGTTCTCGCAAACACAGCGTAAGATAACTCAAAAATTCCCTCATTATTATTTTCTTGTGCACACGCAACTAAAGGGATACCTCCGTTGGATGTTTCACCTTTGCTTCGTGATTACTGTTCACCATCAGTCCTGTGTGGTGTATGTAGCTAATCACAGCTCAACAAAATGAACCAGATTTAAAACGATAGTTAGCCCGGCGGTACCAGCATTTAAATGACAAAATGGCGCTCTTCAGGATGGCTAGAGTAGCTCATTTCTTGGAAAAGCAGGGTTGACGCTTTCCGGTTCCAGCGGGTAAGTTGTTGTATGTGAATTGACCTGCGTGATCATGACAAGTACCAAAAATGATCGTCGACTTACCTGCCCCGCTTGGAATCTGAATTTGAAGGGTCTCGTCACCAGTCAAAGTGATACTGTTTCTGCGCTGCGCACCTGTGCTACTCATACTTTACAACTTTAACAGAGAAAGCAAAGTGCGGAATCAAGGAGTGTCCCACGCTTTAACCCGGTACTTTATGTTTCATGATTAGTGACACCGCGTAGCGAATTGCCTTTAATGCCGTAGACTTTCGAACGTTATATCTTAACCTCGATTTTTCCCCAGGTAAAGTTCATCAAGTCTGGACAGTTTGGAATTGTCACAAAAAACTCACTGGATTTAACCTGGAGGCGATAATGCGGAAAAATTGAGATGCCAATCGGGCAACCACCAATTAACACCAGTATAAAACGTAGAGTACAGTCAAGATAGACGAAAATCTTCATCAAAACTTGTTGGCATTCAATAAACAAGAAAAGGCACAATTTATCACAATCGATGGGCAAATTGAGTGCAAAGATAGATTGAAGGTCAACTCAAAAGGAGAATGAATAAAACATATCGAGCATTATGTCGAAGCGTACATATATTGCAAAAGTGTTGCCATGGCAACAAAGGTTGGCTGATAGGGCTCAGGACGATCAAGGAACCGGGTATCGAGAGAGATAATTGCAGAAAAAATAAGATGCAGCGGTGATTAGAAACGATACGAACACAACAATTTTCTGATGTGCCTGGCGGAAGAAAAACTTCTTGGAGTGGAGGGAAATTTCACAGCCGGATTTTCGGATATCGACAATGACTAAAGTGCATCAAAGTCTCTTTTCCTTTGGGTGTAGGATTTCATTGGTGTATGTTGTTTCCGTCGGTTTTGACCAAGCTTGAACTTTAGCCGCTCTAGGTCTACGTCCAGGTCGATTTTCAAACGGTCATTCATTGGAGGCGGAGTCCCTCCGTTCAGAAGTGCCCCTCTACCTGTACTCAGATCGGTTGAGTTTTGACGACTAGATTCACCCGGTTTCACCGAACTGATCAATTCAGGAAGCTTCACAGAAGCTCCATCATCCTGTTTATCCCTGGGTAATAGTACATTTTTGTGAGAATTGTGCTTTGTTACAGAAATCGAGTACTCAAAGGATTTGGCTCGAGGTTTCCCGAATTCGTTTATGTCTCGTAACGAATGTCCTAATTTTTCAGAGCAAATACTGGAAAATGACCCTTTTTTAGAAGGAATACAGAGATGTTCAAATTCACCAATTTCAGAAATACAGATTTGCGTTTTGTCTGTCTTTTCTCTGTCTTTTCCCTGATTCCAATCAGATTTACTGCCCAATAGACGGACTGGCTCATTCCATACTAGCCTTTCATCTTCGTTTTCCCTGATAATGCGCTCAACAGCATCACCAAGAATCGTGACTTCTCGCGGTTTTTCCAGCGGCTCTGAGTATCTCTCAATAGTTAACTTTTGGATGCGTTCACCCGTTCCTTTGGATACATTTTCTAATGTAGACGCCTTTGTAGGTTCACTAACAATAACAATCTCTGCAGAGCGAGCCCGGCCAAGATTTCCTCGGAAATTTTTTATGTCCACTTCAGAGCGAGGTTGTTTGAGGAAACCATTATTCCCAGTTTGTTGTACCTCACTCTCTTCTAGTGATCCGTGTGCCTCGTTCAGTTCAGCACCCGTAGGCGGTTGCCGCTGCGGCGTGTGTGAGTCCGTATGCGTTGTGGGTGATTGTGAGAGATCACGTCTTTTGGGGATGTCGGGAACACCCTAAAAATAAGTCAAAATGTGCACGTTGATTGGTGAACAAATACACCCTAATATCCAAAGTAAATGAAGATAAAATGCGAAAACTCGAACTTGAGAACAATCGTAGTAGGTAAGACGTGTGTCACATGGTGAGATAGGACGCATAGTAGCCTCAGAACTAGCGGAATTCGTTCTGATGGGAGAAACAATGTTGATGAAAAACACTAGGCAAACGAGGGGTGGTCAAGGGAGTGTGATGCAGTGAGTCGACTTTGGGCAATGTAGTGAACAGTGTAACACTGTAGCCTAACTATAAACACAACCAAAACTAAGCCTCTGTAGACATCTATAGACTTTCAATGAGTCGACAATAGTGATTCAACCGGCATTTACTTTTAGGTGTGCCTGAATAACTGCGATTTATAGGCACACAGCCTGACTCGACCTGATTGCGGTAACCTTCATCAAAAAAATTCGGTAAAATGTCTGTCTTTGTGTATCAGCTACATATTCAGACCAGAGTTGGTTGACGAATGGCGTTCACACCTAAAGTTGAAGTAATGAACTCAATCGAAGATTTATGAGATGGAATATCGGGAAACAAAATGCATGAATTGGTATAAGATGATCTCAAGGAGAATGATATCAGACGGCCCAATTAAATAAGGCATCAATAATTCACAATCCATTGTTTAACGAAATGTGAAACAGATGATAAAAAATACATTCGTGTCATGTAGACTAATTTAGTGTATAGCTATTCAGAAAGAACTGTACTTATCTGCGCTTGAAGTATACAGATTAAAGCATCTGTACAATTCCGCGATGGAGTGTGTGTACCACAACACATTTCAGCGTCGAAAATATCAAATAGTTGATGGCGTTACTAATTCAGGGTTAATATAATATTATACATTTGACAGAATGAAAAAGGTCTAGAGTTGTGGGTGGGTGCGATAGTTGGGGAATTTACATTTGTATCACTAAAGCCTTCTTGCGATACATGGGAAAAGTTGGATTNGAATGAAAAAGGTCTAGAGCTGTGGGTGGGTGCGATAGTTGGGGAATTTACATTTGTATCACTAAAGCCCTCTTCCGATACATGTGAACAGTTGAATTACTACTCTACAATTTCAGTTCGGGCGTCGATTTTGTATTAAGCCTGCCTTATCTTTACACATACAAAATGTACTTGCCATGAACGCTGAAGTAAAAGCTAGGAAATGTAGCGGAAATATCCTGGAGATATCGACGCCAGTCTGACTGCGATATGGAGTTGTGATGAGAACCTGAGTAATGGTTGGGCAGCTTATTGCTCGTGGTTGCAAGCATTTAATGAAACATTGTTGTGGCAATGTTATACACCTCCAGAAAGGTCTTCCTCGCCCTAAAGAAGTTGCAGTAGGCTAATGGTGTCTATCAGCTGAGCATAAATATTTGTCAACGATAGTACACAATACAAAGCCTCTAAACACCAGTGCGTCAAAGTGGACTTCCGTTAATGCCTCATGTCCACACAAATGACCAAACAGAATTGAAACAAGTGGTATAGAATATGAAGGTATGAATAGAACTTGAGATGATAGATTCAAAGGCTATACACTAATAAAAAGCATAAAGGTTGTCACAAAAATCGGCTTTCAGTAGGCACTATCCCATAAGGTGCAAACAATGAGTGACCTGTTTAACTCAGACGGGGTGTAGTAGTTTCGGAAAAGTGTGAAATCAGACGGGCGAATTAAAGTCCAGAGTCCACGTAATTACGGTCGTCGATACACTCGACAGTTCAAATTGAAACGTAGTAGGGTCAATGTTCACCTGCATAAGTTTGTGCAGCGTTTCCTTGAAATTCAGTAACAACATTCATATCAAGGGGTGATCCTACCTGATCGATTTTTCCAAAGATAGTAGCTGAGTTATAAAACCAACGATCCCATATTGTTTGCGGGTTGCTGGTAGACAAAACTGGGTAAAGGAAGAGGCAAAATTAAACTGTGCCCCATAAACAAAGTTAACCAAACTTAAGACAAACATCCACTGTCAACAACTTACGTCAATCTCGGGATGTGAAGCTAGGTTTGTGTGAAGTCGGTGGCCTAAAACACGGAAGAAATGTGTGTAGTCAAAATGAGCGTTACAGAGAGGTGTTTACTATGGAGCTGCACGTCGCACACGGAGTAAAATCGATCAGCTGGCAAGTGGGTGTTCAGTAAGAATAAAAGCTCAAGCAGTATCACTGATCTGAAATGAAGCGGACCCATAGGACTACTGTTACTACTTGAGGGTAAAGAATTCAGCAGAACACTGTACAAATATAGCTACCGGGACAGAAAGTCGTTTATCTATACTAGTAACAGTAGAACGCATGTTTGGCCAGCTCACCGTGATTATTCAAAAGTGGAGTTGAAGTGTTTTCTTGGCAATTTCGCCTTTGTCCTACAATTAGCCACCAAATCTGAAAAAATCCGCGTAGCCGGATGATTCCGCGGAGAAAATCATGCAGGTAACGAGAGCACGGTTGGGACATGTGGTAGATCAAAATGGCCCCATGGTCTGCCACACTGAAGGCTTAAAATCATGTTTTTTTTGTGTGGGATAGGACAACGTATCTTATTACAACACAATTAGGTCATATCAGAATGGTGAATTAGTTTGTTTCACTATGCCACATACAGTGGGTCGTTCTGGGGATGGATGTTTCCAGAGTGTCGTATTTTGAACTAACCCCAACTAATTCTCTTGACTGGAAACATTCACCGGGTCTGTCCTGTCGTCTTGTGTCAGGGCATCTAACTGCGGTGGTATAATGACTGCTAATTCAGACTAATCCGATAAAAAACAGTAGGCTAGCCTCGTTTAGTGGTTTTGCCAAAATAATGCTCGTTTAAACTTTCTGAATATGCGAAAGGTTTCTCTAGGCCACATCGGCCAGATGGTCCCTTGATTGGCGATCAATAAAATTGTGTGCCATAAATCGCTATGATGACTGCTGGTTTGGAAGAAAAGTTTTCCAGATTGTATGATCGATTCCGAAAAAGTCGGAGAGTCGATGTTCTCTACATTTCTAACAGACATAGAAGCGCTTGATTTGGTTCAGTCATGACTGTCTGAGATTTTATAACATGACTGTTATAAAATCTCAGACATCGTGGTGCTGCAATGTGCTGTGTGCTGTGAATGACATTCGCCGGCCACACCACTTGAGTTGCATCCATGGGCGATATTTTGAACTTACCGCCTTTAGCAGTTCTGATCTATTTCAATTATCGAGAGGAAATAGTAAATGTTCATCTCTACTTCCATGTAGGTCTACCAGGAAAGGCATTTAGTTTCTCAGCCCGTGTGTTGTTCTGAGTACAACTAGACTTTAATTTTCTCATCTTGGCATAAAAGAAGCATAGCTTTTGCCCTTCTGGTGAAAGCAACTTGCGAACTTGCACTGGTTGTCTATTATTCCACGTCCGCTGAATAGCGCAAAAGCCAAGAAAAGCTATCCTCAGTGCAAATTCATTGCTGGCACTGTGCGATTTATTTTATTATTTGAGTGTGTATTATTGGATTTTCTACCTTTCCTAGGAGGTAATTCTGGCCGTCTAGCTTGATCCAATGTTCTTATTCTTGAAGTGAGTGAATAGTCGGATCAAGTTCCGTTGTTTCTGATGAAGTCCCGCCGTAGTATCTGATATGAAAAAGTTTGTATGTAATAAGAGTGAATCCCAAATTCCTCCAACATTCAAGAGCTGATCACAGGTCAATGGATAAATACACAGGCTGGTGACAAGTGTAGCGGACACTTCCTTGTTCCCACAACCAGGTCCGCTTAGTTTTTCTAGTACATCCGCACTCATTAGATCACGTGACTCCTCTGTTCCGCAAACATTCAAATCATGTCCCCCCTATCCCGCTTGGGACCTAGACCGATAACAAGTCAGTTCCCATCTTGTACGCGTCGGAACGACTCTAGATATTATACACAGGTCAAACCTTCCTATAGGTAGGAAGACACGATAGTTATAACACGCAGTCGAGCGCGCAGGAGGCAGGAAGTCAACCAAACTCTTTAAGTTCACAGACAATTACGGAACACCTGTAGCAGCTATACTGTGCAGAAAACACATCTAGCCGTCCGGACTTTCATCAAAGAGCTCTCACAAACGATAAGTCTCTCTTTTGACTTGCTTCAAATTTCGCATTGCGTTTATTTTACACATGGTGCAACCAACAACTTTCAACCACTGTCAACCATAGTAAAAACTGTTATTTGTGCATATACCTTCTGCGTTATATTATGGCTACCATCACCTATGCACTAACACAAGTCAAGCAAACCGAAGGACAAAGGCACCGGCCAAAACACCGCAAATAGATCTTTCTCCACCTTATCAGCGAAAGTAGCACCCCTGGGATGCATTGTGTTTAGGCTCTAAGTGTTAGTTACCGTATAGGCAGGTATACAAGTTTCAAAATGACCCGTGTTCGGTGCTGTAAGCGCTCTAATTCCCGTTTTCTTAATGAAATTGCGAGCTGGTAATAGCGTTACTCTCGAACCTCCGTTGCATCCACTCCTCGTGCCACCATGTATGCAATCTTTTTGAAAACCTCAAGGTCACACGAACATCATCTTTGCCTAACTGGATGTCAGTCCTGCATTTCCGTGACGCTACGATTCCGATGTCCCCAATTGTCCGTAAGGCAGTGCAGTGAGGCATTAATTATGGTTCCACTGTCCGCAATAATCGCTCTCTCCACCTCAATCTGCCCTCGAGTTTATCTGGACGGGCGTACGATGAAAATTTAAATTCGTGCTGTAATCGTTTAAAGGAAGTCTGCGCTAAAGAGGTTCACGCTAAAAAAGAAGCAAGAAACTGAGCTTTCAAAATTCACCTTTCCTGGGTCTATATAGACACGAAATACAACCGAAAAAAAAGTGAATTTTGTAGAGATTTATTGTAAATTTTGAAAGTTCCTTTGTAGACTTCTGACGGTGCTATTCATCTCCAGTAAATAGAAAAATCCTGAAACAAATGATATTCTTAAACGGGTTAGGAAAAATCCCAGACAAAGTGTTAAGAATTCGTTTCCGATGTATGATGTTGCACATAAACCACTTTGTGCCCTTCAGCTTGAATATCACTTTACGATCACTTCAGTGGGAATGTGCTATTGCCTACGGAGTACTCTGTTGAGGATCCAGTTCAAGCAATTTCACCATCCAAATGAGATTAAAAAATGCACTTCCACTATTCATGCACATAAGTTGATAGGGACTGAGACAAAAATCTGTTTTCTGTGGGTCCAGTTAATATAAGGTGATGCCTCATTGTCTAAGGGTGAGATGTCCAAATTGGTTAGAGCGGGATTATATTGACTGGAATGCCCGTGTTTCGAACCCTACCCCTGTCTCTCGACTTCCCCTGTCTAGGCATGGGCAACCTGGCAGTATCCCGGCCCTCGTGCTTCCGTCTGGTTGCAAGACAGTTAGGCATCGAAAAAGTGCTACAGCTGAACGAACGATTCTTATTGTCAAACCACGGTCTCGAGTGGGTTCCGGAATCACTCGCATGAGTAGAATGTAGTCTTTGAAATGCTAAAGTTGATAAATGGGAATGTGCTTCCCATTCAAAGTGAGTACAAATCACCGAACTCGGTCAGTTCTAATAACTGGCAAGTTTATCTTCCTTGGAGTGATGCTTATGACAGACTAGAGTCACAATGTATTCCAGTAGCTCCCTCTCTAATTCTTTTTGTTATAAAAAAGTAAAACAGAACAGATTAAAGCAACACAAAACCGATGCTCTCCAGCATGAAGTTTCATTATGATTGTTTTCACCAACGCGGAAGATAGGTTGTGCTAGTAAACGCCGATTCACCGGTGGCATTCTCTGCGGAGCTTATTTCAAGCCAAATACACAAGTAATATCCAGAAAAGCACTAGCAACTACATGCTTTTTTCGCTTTCTGTACACGATGAATCCAGCAGTACGCATCAACTGACCATGAACAGGTCATGGGACACTGCTCACAGGCTTACTGTATTTGAATATAAGGAAGAAGAATGTAAGAATGTAAGAAGAATGTAAGAAGAATGTAATTACGGAATTTGTAATCGTTTTTCAGTGCACAAAATCTCTCCGTATCTCAGGCATCTACCCATGATCAGCACCAGTAGACGCAAACCACTCGCAGTTTACTCTTCAACAAAACATTGGACTTTCATCACGATATGCTCCAGACTGATAATCCTAGCCATGTGTGAGGTTCCACTATTAGCAAGGTGGTTCATGAAATACGTATGACTTCTGCAGATTTTCTCGGACTAGTGGAACGAGGAGCACAGATAATGCAAAAAAAATTACACTCACCTGGTCTGCTGGGCGGACAGACTATATGTCTGAGATGCTTCATGTGGGTATCAACAATAAGGTGGCGTTCTTCAAAGTGACGTCGCGACTCGGGGTCCACCACAAGAAGGCAGACTCGGTCGGGGTCGGATTTGATGCGTTCGACAACTTCCATGTGTGGTTCACTAACTGAAACACCAGGAAGGAGTTGGCAGTTGGACACATAAAGGAAGGAGTAGTTCCCTCAAACGGTATTCATATGATTGAACATTTAAGCACACTGTTGTATTAAAAAAATAAACAGTAAATTTCAACTTCATGGGCAGTGTGACTTGCGGAGAATTAAGCTATTAAGGAGTTACCAGACTAATAGAGCAGAGAAAGAATGTCACACCTATGCTGTTATAAATACCGATAACGCCCGTAGTGTTATCGTTGTTATTATCAGCGCCACCATTATCTTTTATCTTTAGAGAGAATGATCAAAAGCAAATAAATAAATAAATCTGAGCGATAGATATGAAGAAATGCACAGGAGGACATTAGACGAAACGATAGGAACGTTCTACTCAAAGGCCTGTCATCAAAAGCTTTCGGTAAGATAAGATGATTTCCGACGTATTCAAGAATGTTTTTGGATGGAAGCACACGCATAAGGACCAGCAATTGAAGAAGGACAAAGAGTACTGGACGCCCTTTAAGGCGCAGGACAGTCGAGACTTGCACATCAGGCACAAATTGTTCGTCCGCGTGAAATTCAGGGGCAAAAATGTATATTCGACGCCATGTTTTACGCACAAATGTGTCGGAAGTACATAGAGAGACCAAAATGGCGAGAAAACACAAGTTAAAGACTGCGACCTTAGGAAGCTTCAGTCCAACAACAGTCTTGGTGGACTGAGGAAAGCAAATACCTCGACATGTAATGACCATCGGTTGGCAAGCCAAAAAATCAACATCACAGTTGATGGCATGTAGGTCTGAGATGATGGTGAGAGAACAACTATCAGAATCATACATATACCGTTTTTCATTCCATACAAACGCTGCGTCCATCCAAGACCATGCTTATGTCTATCACAATAACTTCGCGCAGCCGAACAACAATTAGGTCAGGCTTAACAAAGGACGTCGAAATAGGTGCTCTCAACTCCTCGGAGACGATGTATTCCAGATAATGCAGACGTCATGAGGGTTCCCTTGCAACAGAATTGTGACGAGTGCATCAGCGATCATGCGTGATCAAACAGAACTGCAGAATATGCACTAAACTCTTTGGTTGGCCATGGTTCCCAAGACAGATCATCTGGTCACTCGGATCCTTTCAGGTGCTTCTAACTGCCATCTCAAGCAGGTTGCACAGGATCTAGATACAGCGGACAAGTATCCTAGGAAACACGCCTTCTGGAAACATAAGCAATCGATTAAAGAGAGATGAAGAGACAGACTCTCCCAAACAGCAACCAGCAACGCTGCTTTGCTGACTATCGTCTCCCAAGCAGTCACCAGTTCTTCCCTGGCGATTAAGCAGGTACCCTGGACTCGAATCGGAACGATGACATTCCGAACAACCTTATCAGATGCCGGATCATCAGCCACATTATGAAGCACACTGCACTAATTAGAGGGAAGTTTTTCCATACGCGCTCTTCGCTGCATCGGGATTGTTGCACTAAGACTTGGAATAACAAGTTCCCAATGATTTTTTACCGACGTGGATGCAGCCACTCGGGATGTCTTGTAATAGACACAGCCAGCCACGAATAGACTGCATGATGTAACTGCCCAAACTTCTGGACGTGTTTCGGTGGGCTTTGTACCAGTTAGTTCCTTGCAATCCCTATTTTAATGCGGCTTCAACGGGGCATACGTCACTTCATCAAACAGTTTAAGCCGTTTCTGTCAGTGGCTGTATAGTCCAATTGAAAGCAGAGGGTGGCCCCAAATATTCCACGGTTTTTGTCAGACCCACACGATTGACGAGCTGCTTAGCGAGGAAAAAAAATTCGACTGAGACTGCTGTCACAAGGTGTTTTTTGTCCCCATAAATCACCTTTGCTTTCTTCTTTTGAAGGTTGATTTTCGCAGCTTAACCGAAGCAGCTTCAAGCTACTCATTAAGGCGAGCCTGACTTTCTGCACACACGACACAGTCGTCAGCGAAAGCAAAATCATCCAACAACACGTCAACGAACTGTTGTCTTAGTTACGGCATCGACTGTCCATGAACCTCATCCGTTCCCATGATGAACAATATTGAGAAGAGTGGATCTCTCAGCCTCAAACCTCTGTGGCGGTGAACTTCAGAATTAGGGTAAACTTCTACTGCGTTCTTATAGGACTGTGCGAATTACGAAACCAGATATGAGGGTGCTCCAAACGCCTAGGAAGATCTGACAACTGTGTCACGCGAAAATGAATCAAACACGCTCGAGGCATCAACAAACGCCAAACTGAGGTTAGAAACAGTCGCTAAGTGGAGATAGAGGAGGGTGTGTAACAGTGATGTGGCTTTCAAACAACCGTCTTGATGTAAAAATGTTATCTGGAATGGGGACAGTTGCAGTCTATGTCTCTAGCGATTAGCAAGCGCCTTATGGAAGCACCAAAAAAGATAATTATGGTGGTTTCGTCCTGCAAGTGAAGCCATTCTATGCTGAAAAGCCGAGAAGCACTGTACAGCTGTTTCATCCTTATTGGGAATCATCAGCAGTGCGCATCTCACAAAACTCCGAAGAGTCTCGAACCCGCGACCTCCCGACTAGTAGTTTGAACACTTAACCGTTCGGCCACGAGTGGCTGATCAGCAGCACTGATCAGCACTTAGACAGGATATAGCACCGCTCATTCTTCAATCACGGGATCCACAGCACGTGGTCACACCTGTTGACTGGCTACTCGAGCAATGACTTCTCAGATAGAAGTTCCACTCATCGGGTGAAGTTTATTCTTCCACTGAGCTACTTATAGATTGTTGATGGTGGGTTCAAATACACAGCGAGGGGTGGTTTGAAACCGGCGAAGTATATTGAGCGTGCGCATGCCCGAAACTGTGAAAGAAGTGCCAGTTAGCTCATTTTTAGTTGACTGGATCAAAGTTCAATCGGATGGTAGCACTATGCGACTTGGTCCGTTATCCATGTGCCTTGAAATGTTCCCACTACTGTTCGGCGTCCATAGGCTAGCCACAGTTTCATTTGTATACTTTCTTCCACGAACAATCGAGCACAACAGACGCTCAATCTTTCCTTCCTGAGTAGTCTATAGAAGTCTACAGAGAGTAAAATTTCCATCTGAAGGGAGGAGGTTGCAAGGCTCTTGATACAACATGTGTAGAAATAAGGAATGTAAGCACCTTGAAATATCTGGGCCGAACTACCATTCCCAAATGGTGTGAGTGTCCAAACTCTTATCAACAGACCTCGGTATGTGTCCATGCAGCTGGACAGAGTCTTGTGAGAACAGGTGAGATAATCCTGACACCAAAATCCTGACCATCAACGCAGCCGTTTTTATCGATTGAAAAACCGTACCTTCGATTTCGGTCCATTGTGCTTCCGAAAAATTCCTAAAGGTTACTACTTATTAAATATGAGCAACGGCGAATGCCATCGTGGTTGCCGCGGCCGATGTCCAGTGTAGCTATTTAAACATTGACCTTCGCAGTGGTTAGACTGTCAGATAAGTCGAAAGGATTCTGGCCCAAAGCCTCCGTCGAATGTGGTAGTGCCATCCCAAAGCATAAGTGAAATTCAATAAATATTTACAATTCTGTGCTATTGGTTCTCAATTGGTTCTCTATTGGTCCTCAAACTTATCAATCCAGAATCTACGGTTCGGTTTGTTTGTTAGACCAAGTATAAAAACCACACGATTCGTCTGACCCGTCCAAACAGATACAGGATAACATCAAATTCTTTTCTTTCACAAATAACAGATTAAATTTGTCCAGTCATGTGCTCGTGATATACAGGCTCTGTGACATCAACTCCCCATTCCTTACTTGCTACGACTGACTTGCAATTGAGCTGACCATCTGTCACTGTCTATTTTCTCCAGGGTTCGGGCAGATGTACTGTCCAGCTATGGTGCAGCTGCCGATAACATTTAAACTTCTAGTGAAGTGCCATAGACTTTAAAGTCTGCTCTACTGAGTCTCGTAGCTTTATGACTCAGTAGTGTAGAATTCCCCAAACAATGATTGTGTGTTCAGTTTTGCCACAGGCAGTCAGAAAAAGGGCAACCTTTTTAGAGTCCATAAGTTGAGGTTTTGGTTATTGGAACCGCAAAATCGAAACGGAAATGAGCGAGAAACTGAATCAGTGGTAAAGCTGACGGCAACCGAGATACTTGAAGCGATCACAACCTAAAGAATGCCACCAGAGTGCATGCCATTGGTCTTTCTCGTAATCATGAGTAGTTTAGCTCTTTTGTAGACCTTTAAGGGCCAAAATGATGATCCTGCAATACGATCACACTTGATTAGCTCGTAGGAAACAGAAAAAATTCGCTGGGCTACCCAGACAACAACACCCTATTTCAAAAGCAAAAATAGGAAATTTTCCTAGGTATCGCTTCCGACTAAAAACCCAGAGTTTGTTGGAAACAACGGGTCTACTATGTAGTAGTAGGCTTGCATTCAGGTCAGCAAAACCTACCTAAATTAAAATGCCACTGTTTGAGTTACCTTAATCCAAGAATCGCCTCCAAAAGCCCCCGTCAGATAGCAGCCACCAACAAAAGCCTTTTTTCTGCGCTGTACGTTTTGCTTTTTTGCTGTAAAACTCTCGGCTGTCTGTGTTGTAACTGGGCAATCTCGGAGGTTGTTGTGGTGAACATTTGCTGATTAAAACTCCGGGTTTCATTAGGCATCGTATGTAACCTTCTTCATCCAATGTCTCTTGAAGTTTTCACCGACAATAAACATGGGATCATACAAGTTCCTTCGTACTTAGGACAACTTTCATAGAAGTGTTACAGTACCCTTCTGAGAGAGTAATAGAAAAGAGCCAAGCGAATTATGTCATACTAGAGATACTCTTATTTTAAAGGGGTCAACAGCCTACTTCAACGGTCACATGTTTTTATTAGATTCATTATTTTTATATATTGTATTATTGTATTATATTATTGTATTGTTATATTATGTATTTTATTATATTTATTTGTTATTCATACTATATTATAGTA